TCATCATCATCATCATCATCATCATCATCATCATCATCATCATCATCATCATCATCATCATCATCATCATCATCATCATCATCATCCAGCTAACTTCCAACCCTGTTGTCTCTGTCAACCCACTCCAGGGGCCTGATATCCTTGAATTCAAGTCACACCTACTACCTGGAACCAGTCAGCAACTCTGCTGTAGATCCTCTTCGCCATTCACTGCTGAAGGCTGACGAGCTGCAAATAAAGGGAGGAAACTGTGGCCACGGTCAACAGGCCGCTCAGTCCAACCATATAGCTGACCTGCTCAGACCGTTTCACCAAAGGGTGAGTCTCTTTTACACCCGTGATGTATGTATTCTTAACGATCGAAATATATGTAGTGTAAAGTTCTGTAGTGAGAGTGTGTGGAGGTAACTTTTCACCAAAGGGTGAGTCTCTTTTACACTCGTGATGTATGTATTCTTAACGAAATATATGTAGTGTAAAGTTCCGTAGTGAACGTGTGTGGAGGTAACTAAACAGTGTTGTTAGAAACCAAGTACAGCTCTATCTCATAATTTAAATAAAGTAAGAGTCATGGATTGATTAAAAATAATTCAAATTTTCTCTGATCACATGACCTTTTTAGTTACTCCAAACAATACAAATACAGTCATTTCCGGTCTAACTTCCGCACCTGAATATAAGCGGCACCCACTAAATTTTAAAGGAAAAAATATTTTACATGTATGGGCCGCACTTCTCTATGAGCCACTGGTGTTCATGTTGTAACATTTTTTTTTCACTTTTAATTAAATAAATGCTTTTTTTTTTTTTTCGATCAGTGCTTCAGCGCCCCGACCATAGTTGGAATGCAAATGGGGAGACTTAGTGATCTGCTCCAGGGGGAAAGCTAACATTAGCTTGGGGGCTTACTCCCTTCACTTTGTATTTGTCCGTATAACCAACTCAATATGACAGGGCTCAAACTGCTCTCAACGTTCGCTACCGTTCCTGAAAAGTCATTGATTGCTAGCTGTATAAACTTTTTTAGCCCGTAAAAATCCATAAGTTAGCCACATCTTTGTTTATGGTCCGGAAATTTTGGTATATGTGTTTGGTACAACCAACAAAACAATTATGTCAGCGTATAAATTACATTTTAAATATCGTGTTTCTAAACCTTGCGTCTGTGATTTAATATACACTTAACTCCTGCACGACTTCTTTCTGACTTTGTGCATCGTCGTCTTACTGTGCAAAAAAAAAAAAAAAAAAATTTGAAGATGTTGAGCAGATGGTGGGTTTTAAAAAAATGCATCGCCTTTTTGTGTCTGAACATTTAAATATATATATTGTCCATACTCCATAAGTGCTGCCATGAATATAGAGAGGAGAATATAAAAATATTTCGTATTTTTACCACATGTAGACAAATGTCACCAAACAGCCTGGCTCTAGTAATCTAGTAAATCTTAGCAGCGGTCCATTGTTAGGGCAGAGTCTGTCATTTTTAAGTCATTAACACCTTGCTGTGAAACCATTTAGGCTTTGTGTCTCGGGAAAAAAAAGAACATCACTGTCAGTTGAAAAGAAATGACGACAATATGATACGACGAGACTACAGCAGCCTCCAAATTTCCACAAAATACAACTTCGCTCCCTGTAGTACATATGCCAGGCCTGTAGGTGGCGGTGTGTCAACTACACTCTAACCTACTAACACCTGAAGAATTTAAACCTGAGCCGGAAAAGAATCCACAGTGAGTGTACATATTAAGCTTGCAAACTGTAAACAAAACGGCAGAGATGACTAGCTGTAGCACACTAAATGGGCGAATTAGCGCCAACATGGTCAGAAGTAGCACGTTGTATTTCATATTAAAAGCTAATTTTTTTTTTCCGCACGTTGTATTTCATATTAAAAGCTAATATTTGTTTCCTGTGAACTCTAGAAATGTCTTAGTAGAATTTACGTTGCGCAGTAAAAGTGGTTCCATAGCGTAAGCGGTAAGCCTGCCTTGAAAGCAACGAACAGTGAAACCTCCCTGATTTTTCGCTTTGAAAATAAGCGTCTGCTAAAGGTATTACAAGGTAAAGTAAAACATCATGACTTTGACTGAGCTTTTCATGTAGATTCATGCCCTGTTTACATATACGTATACGTATACCATACGACTACAGAGTCTCCGGATGCGGAAGGTTCACACAGACTTAGCACAAGAAAATTCAGCGTTTAAACGGAGCCACTGAATACAACTCTGTAGTACATCTCCCTGTAGTACATTTGCCAGGCATGTAGGCGGCACTGTTTCACCCCTGCTCTAACATATTAACACCGGAATAATGTTTAGCATAAACCTTTGCTGTTTAAAATGGAGTGTGGAAGTGTAATAATTAGCAATAGCACACCAAGTAGCTGAATTAGCCGCTGGCACGGTTTAGCAGTCGCCTGGTTTCCGCCATTGTTGTTATTGTTTAACATTGAGCAGGGTCCACCGGGGTAAGGGGTTACAGTGAGGTGGGCCTGACTGTGTTACAGGGAGGAGGCACTCTGGCTCAGATTTGTCTAAAACAGGTGTGAGCAAACTTTTTTGACTCGTGGGCCACAAATGTCCTACAATTGAACACGGGGGCCGTGTGAGGAGCAGAAAGATGGAGTGTTTGTGTGAACTGAGATAAATGACATGTAAACGTCATGCATAAAGGCTAAAATGCTAAAATGCTTTCATCATTTTCTACGCCATCAATTGGGGAAAGGTGGATATTGCAGGGAAAAGGCAAAAGTATAATAATCATATAAATAAATTATATAATTTGATAAAGTTCGGCGGGCCGGATTAAAAAGCTGAACGGGCCGCATCCGGCCCTAGGGCCTGGTCTGAACACAAGGCTAAATGGGCTATTGTTCCTAGATCCGTAGTAGTTGCATCAACTAGAATTATATTGTAGTTATAGCCTCATCTATAATTATATATATTAAAACTATAAATTATAGTTGATGGTGAATGACCTCCTCTAGCGCCATCTGTCTGCACTGTGGAAACCAGCAGCTAATATATCATATATTATTTATCCTCCATATTCACCATTTGACATTTCCATTTCTAAAAAATATGAAACATTTGTCGTGTCTTTCCTTGTGCTGTTCCTCTTCCACTAAATTCTTCATCTCTCTTCTTCCTTCACTTGGCCTCTTGACTCTGACAATTCCATCCACAGGCTGCCATTAATCCTGGCTTGTTATTCAGCCATAGCAGCCACAGCAGACTATCCTAAGGCCTTTGCTACTATTTGCTTCTCCAATGAATAATGCCATGAGTGAATGCATTACTGTGGCTCTGTGTGTGTGTGGTTGCCATAGCGTCACAGCTCTGCTTCTTCCACACTGTAACACTGGCGTGGAGACCAAACTGAGCTGTATCTGCAGTTCACCAACATGTTGATCAATGACTTTTAATCACAGCTGAGCTTCTCCCTAATGGATTCAATCAGGTGTTAGCAGGTTAGCAATAACAGGAGAAGATGAAGATGAAGAGATAGGAGGAGGAGACGAGGTTTAGAAACACACACAACAGGTTGATGATATGGAAGACAGTAGTGTTGTAGTAAAATGTTAATGTTACTACATGGTGGGTTTTCATTCCGTTGTCCTGAACAGACAAAGAAAAAAAACATTTTGTCATTTATTCTACTAAATGTGAGAAAAGTGGGTAAATAAGATAAAAATATCTTAGACCACCTGCTCTCTTATAGAGCTCCTGGAGTGGGCCACATTATTGGAAGGATCCAAACCAACAACCTGTTTGTTTGGTCTGATTCACACTAGACAAGATGTTGTCAATCCTTTTCCACTGCCTTACTAAATAATTCTATTGCTAAGGTCTTTATTGCTGACAAATTCTTAGCTAAATATTTCAACCACCCGTGAACTTTATTTAAGAAAAACTATGGTTCCTATAAAAAATAGTATTTTTATTAGGGAGGGTGTTTTAAAAAAAATAAAGACGGTTTTTATTTTCCTAAGAATACTACTTTTATGTCCACTATGAGGGACCCGCCTCCCACTTTACAAACCACTGCAGAAGACTGTTTAAGGAAACCTTGTTCTGATTACTCCTCCACAATAACAGATCCAGAATCTTTGCTAGAGAAAAGACATGGAATGTACAGTAATCTTCTTTTTTTATCACATAGAAAAAATGTAGATTAAAAATATTGTTAATGAGTCACATGATTATTTGGGCGGCAAAAACTGCATAAAGTGCGTGGGAAAAACTGTAGAAAAATAATAATAATAATAGAGATGTGTTTGTTTAACTAGCCTTGAACCTCAAATGAATTCATGATGAAGACAAAAGAAGTACTGTGTTCTTTAGAAAGGAAGAGATGCAGAGAACATCAAAGTAATGAGCACATCACCATGAAATACAAATGTAAACTATTTTTAAAATAAAGATAGTATTTAGAAAAAAACGTGACTGAAGGTTGGTACTTCTTCAGAAATAGAAAATATGAAAAGAAAAAAATAAAAGAAAACACATTTTTCTGCTGAGAAATATTACTACAAGGTCAGAACACCAACTTCTTTTGGCAGATTGTTTTTTTTGTTGTTGTTGCAAGTGTCATTTCAGCTGCAGTTTCATTGAATGTCATGGGCTACAGTTGATTTTGACCAATAAATACAAAGCACATAGTTCTTCCTGCTCTTCTGCAGTGACTAATATTATACTTTCATATTAAGGTGAGGGGCCGCAAAATATTGTACTGCGAGTCTGAGACCCACTTTAAGGAAACCTTATTCTGATTACTCCTCCATAATAACAGATCCAGAATGTTTGCTAGAGAACAGACATGGAATGTACAGTAATCTTCTTTTTTTATCACATAGAAAAAATGTAGATTAAAAATATTGTTAATGAGTCACATGATTATTTGGGCGGCAAAAACTGCATAAAGTGCGTGGGAAAAACTGTAGAAAAATAATAATAATAATAGAGATGTGTTTGTTTAACTAGCCTTGAACCTCAAATGAATTCATGATGAAGACAAAAGAAGTACTATGTTCTTTAGAAAGGAAGAGATGCAGAGAACATCTACACCAGAGTAATGAGCACATCATCATGAAATACAAATGCAAACTATTAAAACAAAGATAGTATTTGGAAAAAACGTGACTGAAGGTTGGTACTTCTTCAGAAATAGAAAAGAAGAAATAAAAGAAAACACTTTTCTCTGAAGATGCTGAGAAATATTACTACAAGGTCAGAACACCAACTTCTTTTGGCAGATTTTTCTTTTTTGAGTTGTTGCAAGTGTCATTTCAGCTGCAGTTTCATTGAATGTCATGGGCTACAGTTGATTTTGACCAATAAATACAAAGCACATAGTTCTTCCTGCTCTTCTGCAGTGACCTCCATGGTACAGTTCTGACCTGGTTAATCAGTCAGGTGTGTTGATACACAGTTTTATATCTAATCTTCTATAACCCTTAACATAGTCAATAACGGGTAAATAGTTTAGTCTAGAATACTAGTAAATTCTACACTGTTTTTCTACATTCTGCATGTTTACAACAAATATATTCATAATATCCTCCTAATGTACACACATGTATATGACCATAACCAACAAGTACTCCTTTGACTATATCCCTGTTCTGTCTTTGTTTCTGTGACCTGCACCAGGTTAAAAGAAACACCTGGGGTACAACCAAGTACTTGGAGCTGTACATTGTGGCTGATTATACTCTGGTAAGTACCTCTGACAGTACCAGTCGTCATCACCTCTGCTAACAAATGTTTTTGTGTGTACAGCACAGTACAGCGTGACCACATTTTAACGTGGGGCTGGTTCAGTGATACAGAACCAGGTGTACACGTCCTCTTCAATTATCTCATTACAGTTAATGGAACTTTCCAGAGTGAGAGCTCTGAGCTGAGATCACAGTCACACTGAGGCACAGAAGCCTGGACTGGCAGCCACACTGGTTGGTCTGCTCAATGAGGGAGCAAATATAGATGGAGACTAAGGTGGAGGAGCTTCTAAACCAGTGCTGTGCTGCAGTGGAGAGATGTTAATGATCTAGAACAGGGGTGGTAAACATAGGGCCCGTGGACCAAAACAGGCCCGCTTGATGAATTTTGAAAATGAAAAATGCACAAACACTTCATGTTAGTCATGTTTTGTCAAATAAAATTTCAGTAAATATAATTATTTTCTAATATACATGTACTTATTTACATGAACTTATGTTATGTATAGGTGATCCTGTTATGATTGTAGTGGTCCGTCCCACCTGACCCAGGTTGTTGTACGTGGCCCATGAACCCAACTCACTTTGACACGGCTGGTCTAGATGAAAAAATACCCTCCATGCATGGAAATTGTACTTGGTGTTAAAAGGACTGTGTAGTATTTTCCTGCTGTAATCGTTGTCATTATGATGATGGACCGTGTTAAAGTGGCAGAGCAGAACTGCTCAGGGTGACAGGGTTTGTTTTTAGGGTGAGAACTGTAGAAGGATTCCTGCTCACATCTGATTTGTTGGGCAGACCTCAGAACTCATTCTTGCCTCTGATTCTCACCATCTCCTCTGTTTTGCAGTTTAAGCGTCAGAATAAAGACTACGAAAAGACCAGGACACGGATAATGGAAATTGCCAATTACGTGGATAAGGTAAAGGCTTCTCTCACTGCTGACTACATTTCTCCAGACAGCAGACTAACAGATATTGTTGTACTGACTCCTCATGTCTTTTCACAATCTATTATTGATCACTGAGATGTTGTTGCCTTGGTTTCAAATGAAGGAAAATTGTACACAAACATGGACGGTCACATTTAGCCTCTAAATAATTCAATCAACACTGTCCTCAAGCAATTCTCCTTTGGAGATTAGAGACCACGGTGCAGTCTGTGACCAGACACTGTGATGGGAAATATACAAAGGTGGTTTATATTCCATCATTGATGAAGAAATCAAGAGTTTCTAGAGTGTTTTATAGAGGAGGCTGTATGAATCTGCACATGATTAGTGGAATAGATGGATGGATAGATGGATAAACTGGATAAACGGATAGATACATGGATAGATAGATGGATAGATAGATAGATAGATAGATAGATGGATAGATAGATAGATAGATAGATATATGGATAGATAGATGGATAGATGGATGGATAGATAGATAGATAGATAGATAGATGGATACATAGATAGATAGATAGATAGATAGATAGATAGATATATGGATAGATAGATGGATAGATAGATAGATTGATTAGAACAGACAGGATTATTCTAACCTTGTTCACGTGTTCAGTTCTACAGGGCTCTGAACATCCGTGTGCCTCTTATCGGTTTGGAGATCTGGACAGACAGAGACCAGTGTATTATCTCAGATGAGCCAAACGCCACCTTGTGGTCTTTCCTGCAGTGGCGACAGAAACTGAAATCCCGCAAGAAGCACGACAACGCTCAGCTTCTCACGTGAGTGAGGTTCACACGAACACAGATGGAATTTAAACAAGGCTACACTTTCAGATAAAATACTCTCAGGACAAAAAAGTATTATTACATTTACAT